GAAGAAGAAGAAGAAGAAGAAGAAGAAGAAGAAGAAGAAGAAGAAGATAGTGTGGTTCCATGGCTTAGATCATCAGCCAGGGTCAGGATTGGGGACTGTATCTTACTTGGGTCCCTCTATGTTTCCCTCTTTGTTTCTTGGCCACTGTGACAGGAGCTGCTTTACTCTGTCAGTCCTCCTGCCTGTCAGATGCTCTGCCTCATCAGGGACCTATAATAGTACAGCAAGGTGACTTAGGACTGAAACCTCAGAGACTGGGAGACAATGTAAATCGTGTTACCCTTTAAATTGTTTCTTTTTCAGTGATAAACAGTTGACACAGTTGCCTTAAAGTTCCTAATGCAGTGGGTGATGGTGGCTCATGCCGTTAATCCCAGTGCTTGGGAGATAGAGGCAGTAGATTGCTGAGTTTGAGGCCACCCTAGTCTAGAGAATGAGTTCCAGGACAGCAAAGTCTTCACAGATTAACTCTGTCTTAAAAACAAAAACAAAAACAAATGTCTTGATAATGATAATTCTAATAGAAGACCCGGCAAGCCCTCGAGGAACTATGTTGATTATAGATTACTTGATCTAGGAAGACCTGCCTACTGTGCGTGACATCATTAGCTGGGCCAGGATCCTGGACTGTATAAAAAGAGCCAGACACAAGCACTGATTGCTCTCTGCTTCCTGATTGTGCATGCAAAGCAATCAGCTGCCTCAAGCTACCACGTCAAGATGGATTACACCCTTGAACTGTGGACCAAAATAAACATTCTCTCCTTTTAGTTGTGGTTGCCAGAGTATTTTATCACAGCACTAGGAAAAGTTACTCAGATAGCTTTTGATTAGTCAAGCCTTAGGGAACTTTTATTTCTGGTTACCCAGAAGAAGGCACATAGTGAGGGCAAAATCACTAGGCTGCTTTTACTTCATAAAACGGAGTGAAGTGTAAATAGCTTTTCCAAACTCGGCTGTGGATTGAACTCATACTTTCTATTTGATAGTGAGACATTTTTGGAAAGTGGCCTATTGGTCCTGATTTTAGGGCAAAATAGGTGTTTCTTAACTGTTTCTGTCCAAAGGTGAGCTAGAAGTTATATACTTTTGTCACAGGCCAGTTCCTGTTTGTGGGTGGGACGCACCATCGGTAGCTCACAGTTAAGTGGGGGGAGCCCACGTTGGTCCTGCAACGTCCTGCTTCCTTGAGGACACCTCAGCTGAGCTGTCTCGTTCCACACAAAACCAGGCTGCCTTGGGCCTTCCTCCTTCTGTTGTTATGCTGGAAGACGTCATCAAATTGTCTGTACTCGCGCCAGATTGCTCTTGCCACTGTGCACTCCCCGACACGCGTCGCTTCCAGTAAGGCGAGCGCAGCGCAGGGATTCAGTGCCACCTGTTGAACCCAGATCGTGCCCTCTTCACCCCACCCAAGTCCCCCGCCACCGGCCCGGGAGGATCTTTGACAAATTGGAGGAGGCGGGGCCTCGAGAGGGAAAAGCTTAGAGGAAAAGACCCGGAAAGAGGCGTGAGGCCGGGGAGGAGCGGCCCCGCCCCCGCCGGTGCGCGCCGCGGGAGCGAGCGGGTCCAGCGCGCGCGCGCGCTGCCGGCCGCCTGACGTGGCACTCGCAACCTAGAGCGACTCGGCGGCGGCGGCGGTGGTGCGGGGCGCGGAGCGTGCAGAGCAGGTACGGCAGACGCGGGGCGCAGGGCGCAGGGCGCAGGGCTCAGGGAGGAGGGTGGGGAGGGTGGGGAGTCTCAGGCACATCGGGCTCGGGGTACGGCTAGGGGTGCAGAGCGTTCACACGCGACTGCACCGCGACTCCCCATCAACTTGGCTCCCTGGTTCCCGGAGGAGGAGAGGGCTGGAAATATTCCGAGGGAAAATGGCAACTACAGCGTTCAGCTTCGGGACATCATTAGAGGGGAAACGCGAACTTGTCTTGGGTGACAGTGGACCGGGGATGGGTGTCTCTGTAGAATCCGAGCACTCGAGGTTTGGATTCGAGGCCGGTTTGTGCCAAGTGGCTCTCTGCCATGTCGCCGCTTGCAGCTGAGTCAGGTTTCAGCAACTTGGTGTTCTGGGTGAGGAAGTTTGACGTGGCAGAGTAGAGTGAGGAAGCGAATTCCTCCCAGGACCAGTGGAAGAGGGCTGGGCTGCTTCCAGTCCTTTGCAGTGAGCATCGCTGCCGCTGCCCCGCTTCCCTCCCGCAGCCGCTGCGTGGGTGCGCCGGTGTGGTCTTCTAAAGGCGCTGGGCTGCACGGGGCCAAGCGGCTGCCACGTCTCTCTATGCACAGTGGGAGGAGGGAAAGTGTTGTCAGGAACACAGTGGACTGGAGACCTTTGTCTGCCTTTCTGTCCTCCGTTAAGAAGACAGTGACCTCATCATACACTCTTTTGGTTGCTACTCAGAAGCTTAAGGTTTAATATGAAAGCAAAACTAAATCGTGGATGATAGCCTTCACGTTTGAAATTTGCATGCCATTTTCAGAATAAAGAGATCCCAATGTCTTACTTAGAATGCATTACTAATCCTTACCTTAAAACCAGCAACGAGAAAGGAAGGAGAGGTACCCAAATGTTTGATGGAGAAACTGAAAAGAAACTAGAAAATCACAACTAATGTGGCTTTTGGACACTTCATTTTCTAAACCAGAAAACTGAGGCCCAAAGAACCACTTCAGTTCACCATGTCACAAAGCTATGCACAGGCAGATAGGGAACGAAAACCTATTTCTTTTGGCACCCCCTTCTTGTTACAAATGCTTTTTGAAAGTCAGGCATGGTTGCACACTCCTTTAATCCCAGCACTAGGGAGGCAGAGGCGGGTAGATCTCTTTGAGTTCAAAGCCAGACTGGTCTATTAAATTCAGGACAGCCAGGACTATGAGGGAAACCTTGTCTTAACAGAAAACAACCAACCAAACAACCAACCAAACAAAATTGTCTTTTAAAAACCTCTCTAGGAGATATGTTTTAGCAAAATCTGGAAGCATAAAAAGTGTAAAGCTAATTGGTATTTGGGCTCTGAATAGACTCAAGATGGGACTGTTATACTTGTGACTGTTTATGACTATCCACATATGAAAGGCTTTTTTTTTTTTAGTTCCTTAAATATAGGTGCTTATGTTCTTAGAGGTGTGACGTCATCAAGTCTGAAAGAAGCCCTAGCATCTTGGACTGAGATGGTTGGAGCAGCCACTGGCTTGTCAAATTATGATTCACAAAGGCTATTACCATGTCTATCTCATGTTCTATTTGTTGGACTATGGCTTTTCCTTGTCTTAACTACAGATTGAGTAGACTAATCAGAAGGGCACCAGGAAATCCAAGTCACGAAGCATCTGTCTGCAGACCACTTGTAATCATGGTGGTCAGTCACTTGAATGGCATGGTATTCTCTCAAATTGTGACCATGGAAACCAAGATCCAGAATTGTAGGAATACTAATGAGAGACTGAAGAATTCAGGCTTCCAGGAAAAAAGTGGTTCGCAATTACTATTCACATTGGTGCCTGCGAAATTTCCTGGGACCACTGAAGTGATGATATTACTGAATTCCTAAGAGATATCTTAAGCCATATCCAGGGGATAATATTATGATAAGTAATGTGGTATAAGATGAAGATTATTTCCAGAATGGACAAGTTTACTTTTCTTCAAGAAATCCAAAATGTTTCTTGATTGCATTTATCTTTTTAGTAGCATTAAATATCTAACATCCTCTTGCTAACGTCTCGTCTTTACTCTTGCAGGGTTCTTCTGCAGTAGCTGTCCTTTGGAATGATATTTTCATGATGAGCCAACAAGGTTATGTGGCGACACCCCCCTACTCTCAGTCCCAGCCTGGAATGGGCATTTCTCCCCCCCACTACGGGCACTATGGGGACCCGTCCCATATATCCTCTCCGCCAGGTAAATTATTCTTTTTACCTATATATGATTATTCAGTCCTCAGCCTTAGAGACATGGGTTATTCCTAGTTGGCAGTCATTAAATGAAGCCATGGTTTGACATAACAGCATCATTTGAAGAGCCTCACACAGCAAGACATGTAAAGCACACACTTACCTCTCAGACTGACTTCTTCAGCCTAGAAGTCTTTCTTATGCCTGGACCAGTGTTTTCTTGATTCACCTGCGTGTGCAGGCATGACATACTCATTTAGAGTGATTTGTTGTCTTTCACTGAAGCCTACTTTTTACTGGTATTCCACATCACCTAGGAGCATCAGTTATTAGGATCAACACCCAAACCTTTCATTATTATAAAACAAAACAAACTATCTGTGGGGGCACATGCCTATAAGCTTAGCCCTCAAAGATAGAACCAGGAGGGTAAAGAGTTCAAGACCAGCCTAGGCTAGATAGCAAGTTCAAAGCCAGCCTGGGCTATATGGGACCCTATCTCAAGGAAACAAACAAAACCTCCAAAATCAAAACAGAAGAATCCCTCTCTTGTACCTAGTCCAACCCAGTCAGTCTACCAAAAGTTTACTTTAAAAAATTTTTTTTTAATTTTATCTTAAATGTCTGAGTTTTTGCCTGCGTGTGTGTGTGCCACCTGCCTGTCTCCCAAACTTGGTTTGAGCAGTCACAAACTTCTTTCCCACCTCTCTCCTTCCTCCCATCCTGTTACTGGGTTTTTTCAATCTAACCTGTCTGTCACCCAGGTCACAAATAGTCTCTTCCCCTCTTAGGCTTCTGTCTGGTATGGCCTTTTGACAGGCTATCAGCTCTTAAACTGGAAGGATTTTGCGTAATGAACGAATCATTTGGCTTGAAACCTTTGATGATGTCCCTTCGCCTCTCTTTATACATTAAGTTCCTTAGGCCTGCATTATTTTATCCATTTTCTTCTTTTCAGTTCACCTGCCCTATCCCATCACCCATGGCTCCACAGATGCCAACTCACTGTCACTGGAGTGTGGTTTACATCCAGTGCCTGATAGCACCCTGCTCTACCACTAAGAGGATGGCCCTCCGTGTTGTCTCCACAGCCCTCTATCTCGTACAGCTTCGTACTTCAACCAGCAGCTCTGACCAGATGTTTCCCCAGCTCACTTAGACCTTGTTTCCCTCTTTTATCCTCTTGACACTATGCTAGACTTTAAACCGTCTTCCACACTGTTGTACTAGGGAGAGCGGGCTAAGTGGCAGCACTTGCCTAGCAAGCATGGGGCTTGGGGTTCCCCTTCCCAGTACCAACTCACAAACTCTACACACACACACACACACACACACACACACACACCATTGTATGCGATTTTTTTTTCTGAAAGACAGCCTACTTGTGACGTTTTGAAGTGTCTGTTCCACCAGAATAGTTTCGCACACTCTGGTCTCCATCAGCATCCACTGATTGTGTTTTTGAACCTGACAACTCAGTTGGTGGGTAGAAAGGAAGCGGAAGGTGTCAGGGAAGCACACGGTGGCACCAGGAGAGAAGTACCAAACTCTGAGATGGTGTCAGGGACAGAGCATCCTCTTAGAGGAATGACCTGAGAGGCAAGTGAGTGTGGGCCAGGTAGGAAGGTGGCTTGCTGCTATAGACACTCAGCATGAGAGCAGTGGGAGCTGTCCTTAAAGTACAAAGTAATGGGGCTATATCAAGGGTGCTGCTGAAGTGACTTAAACCAGACAGGGTCACACTCCAGAGCATAGTACAAAAGAGCTACAGTGGGAATTAGAGGGTGTGGAGGAGAAACAAGGTTAGGCGTACTGTGTGGAGCGCAGGGTTTCTAAATCTTAGCAATCTTAACATCTGGAGCCAGCTCTTTCACATGCTCTCTCTCTCTCTTTCTCTCACATGTGTGTGTGTGCATGTGTGTGTGTGTGTGTGTGTGAGAGAGAGAGAGAGAGAGAGATAGAGAGAGAGAGAGAGAGAGAGGAGAGATGCCCTGTGCGTTTAGCAGCATCCGTGGTCTATGTCTACCATATTCTACTGGTACCTCCCTCTTCCTCTGGGAGTTTTAGCAAACCAAAATGTCTTTCCATTTTCAAGTGTCTTTTGAGTGGCAAAAATCATCTGCTGCAGAAAGCAGAGAGGCCAGGCACATCAGGCCTGCGTGGTGTGGGTGCCACCACCCCAGAGTTTATATAGGTAACCACAGGCTCAGAGCTTTGGGAGCACTGGCCATTAGGATTCATTCGCATATGTAACATCGAGCTCATATTTGTTTTGTTTTAGATGAAGATTTTTTTTCTCCCACTAATGTTCTTTGATTTTGTTGTTGCTGTTTTTGCTTTTTGTTTTTTTTTTTTGGTTTTTTGGTTTTTTTTTTTTGCTAGAAATAGGGTCCAATTTAAGGTCTAGTTTTCTGTGCTGCTGTTTTGGTCAGAGTCACTTTGCTGATAACAGAATATACTGTAGTGGAAAGAGATTTGTTAAAAGATGCCAGGAGACCAACAGAGAGAGGTGGAGCCACAGGCTTAGGAGCTTCATACCCAGTCTATGGAGATGCATAGCCCACACAGGACCATTCTACCAAAAATCACTTCCTTCCAAGCCAGAAGGATAGCCCATACCACAGAGCTAGCCAGAGCTCAAAGAAGTGCTGCTTTGCATAAAAACATCCAACTTGTAGAGGACCCTAGGAATGGAGAATCTCGTCTAGTTCAGGACCATATCTGAAGGCAGGCCTGGAGGGACCGGCACTCTTGCAGCGTAAACTAGCCCATAATGCTTGCCGTGTTAAAGATGGCTTGTGAGTTTTGATACTTTCCTGTGGTATAAGTGTAGTTCTTTCACTTGCTATGGATTTCCTTCCCTCTTGAAGTTCCCCTCATGCTCTAAAGAACCTGAGTGTCTCTGTGTCTGGTCACTTTTGACAGTGCCACCTGTGTGACCCATTGAAGACTCTGACTACGCATCACCAGGATACTGCCGTCCCTTTGCCCTGGGTATGGAGACCACATGATACACCAGACTTTGTAGTTGGTTTCCAACCAATCTGGATGGCGATTTCCGTTCTTGTCACTTTACCCCCACACTGTGTCTGTCCATCTGACCCTTTGCCCACCCCTGATTAGGCCATGCTCTCTCAGACCAATGGTCAGGCTCTGCTTCTGGCTAGAATTCCTTATCTTGTCTGCTATTCTAAGAAGTCGCCATACTGAAGGTGCATCTCAAGAGGTCTTTTCTCATTGATTTATCCAAGAACCGTTAGAAGGCCCTCTGGATTTTGTAATGCTGGTCACATGACAGGGTCACTATTTCTAACATGGTTGTGTCCTCTATAAGTTCTCTTAGTGCATTGGAGGCTTCCTAAATGCCTGTTGAATGAATCTGAGTTGTTGATGATGTCCAGAAGTAAGAAGGAGAACCCATCGTAATGTGAAAGATATAGGACAGTTGTCTGTCTGTGCTTCTCAACTGCTTTAAAGTCTCCTGACAATCTGTAGGAGCTAGTAAAAATGGCCACTAGCCTGCTATCCTGGTTGGGCTTTTTTCTTTGTTTGCTTGCTTCTGCTTGTTCTTTGTCTTCTTGACACAAGCTAGAGTTATGTAGGAAGAAGAACTGCAGTTGAGAAAATGCCTTCATCAGACTGGTCTGTAAGCAAGTCTATAGGGCATTTATCACCACCACCACCACCACCACCATCAAATGGTTGATGAGGTGGGAGCTCCCAGGCCGCTGTGGGTAGTGCTATCCCTGGACAGCTGGTCCTAAGCTGTGTAAGACAGCAGATTGATCAAGCCATGGAGAACAAGCCAATAACTAGTCCATGGCCTCTGTTTCAGTTCCTGCCTCCAGGTTCCTGCCTTGAGTTCCTGCCCCGAATTCCCTCAATGGTGAGGTCTGACCTGAGAGTTGTAAGATGAATTAAACTCTCTCTTCCCCAAGTTGCTTTTAGTCACAGTGTTTATTATAGTCATAGGAACTAATCCACCTATTTATTTGAAATAAATAGGTAGTGTGTCTGGTTTATGTTGCCACAGTAATTGTTTAACCTGAAATGTTAGCGGTTCTCCTATGACTTTCTACTTTTGTACAAAACAACATTTTAAAAACAAAGCACAGTGTGTTCTTAATTGTAGTCTATATGTTTTATTAAACTATAAACTCTAAAAAAGGAAGATGAGACATAAGTCAGGGCATATGGCCAGGTAAGAGAAGATGGTTTTGAGTATTCTCATACCTCTGGCCTCAGTTAATTCTCAAGTCTCTTGGAGAGCAGAGAGCTTACAGCTGGGACACGGGGTTAGAAACTGTAGGTCTTGTCGATCGTAGCTCCTCAGTAGTGGGGAAGGATTTAAATCTAGTTGGTTGACTGCGTGCTTTATGGTTTTCTTACATTGTCAAACATCATGTAAAAATGTAGTGTGTGTGTGTGTTTTTTTTAATTTACAGAAGGAAACATACTACGTGATCTTAATCATATGTGAAAGCTAAGAAAGTTGACCTCATAGACATTGAGGACTGAATGGTGCTTCCTAGAAGCTGGGAGTATGGGAGAAGGATGGGAAAGTGTACTAGTGGGAGCGAGGGTAGACAGAAGCATAGATCTAAACATTTACTGGGATATATATTCATATATATATACATATATATATATGAATATATATTTATCATATATATATTTAACTTGGTAAAATATCACAGAATATGTCTATAACTATGTCACATGGTATTACATTAACATATATTTTTATTAGTTAAAACAATTTAAAATTAAGCCATAATACTTATTTTTTGTCCTCTATGGAAAATTGCAAATAGAACTTTGATTATAAAATTAGTATATAGCATTCCTCACTCGGCTGTGGTGTGGGCAAATGATCCCATCTGTTTAGAAGCTAAGGCAGGGACCCTGGAGTTAAAAGTGTATCTGTACACTCAAAGGCAGCCTAGGCAGTTTAGTGAGATTCCATTTTAAAATGATAAAATATAAAAAAGGGCTGGGCTATGTGTGTGGGCTCCTGGGCTCCATCCTAAGCACAGGTAGTCTTCAGTTCCAGGTCTCGTGCTTGAGGAGCGGAGTCTTGGTAGGTATTAAGTCTATAATCACAAAAACTACCGCTGCAACTATTGAGTGTGTTTGAGTATCCAAGGATATGGAAGTACCTTCATGAAGGTACAGTGATAGTCTGACAAGGTCTTCCTGGGTGATTGCAGGCCATGCCATCATTTCCTCTGTGTGTGTGTGTGTGTGTGTGCGTGTGCGTGTGTCTGTCTGTCTGTCTGTCTGTCTGGCAACTGCAGGAGGAAGGGAACAGAAACTAGGTTGGATGAATGCCAAAACCAGGTGTAATATGGAAGAGCTCACAGGCAGCTTGGAGGTCACAGGGCACATGGAGGAGGGTAGGGACAAAGGTCAAGTTGATCGGGCTGAGTAGAGGAGATTTCATTTTTATTTTACAAAGATCAAAGTGAGATCCTCAGAGGTTACTTGCTCAGTGCTGAACAATGGCTAGTTAGTACCAACAAGGCCTAGGGGTCTCCATCACAATGCTTGGGTTATCCTCTGCCAACTTTGCGCTAGAAGAAAAGAGAAAAATGCTTGAAAACTGTTCCAAAGAGAAAACTTTAAGTGCTCTGTACTGGCTACCTTTATGTCAACTTGACACACGCTGGCAGGAGGGAACATTAATTGAGAAAATGCCTCTGTAAGATCCAGCTGTACAGCATTTTCTTAATTAGTGATTGACGGTGACGAGTCCAGCCCATTGTGGTGGTGGCATCCCTGGGCTGGTAATCCTGACTTCTATAAGAAAGTAGGCTGAGCAAATAATGGGGAGCAAGCCAGTAAGCAGCACCCTCCATAGCCTCTGCATCAGCTCCTGCCTCCAGGTTCTTGCTCTGAGTCCCTGTCCTGACTTCCTTCAGTGATGAACAGTCATATGGAAGTGTAAACCATTTCCTCCTCAACTTGCTTATTTGTCATGGTGTTTCATCACAGCAATAGAAACCCTAACTACAACACTCTCTGAGGAGCTACTGTGGGAAAGCGGTCACTGGGTGTTTGATTTCCACATCCTCTCAGTGCTGTGACTTCAAAGCCTGCCTCACTTGTCTCAGGATTTGCTGGAGTAAGAGCCTGCTCTCCAAAAGCACTGTTAGGGCTTGCCTCGTATGCATTTCAGATGCTCTACCAGCCTGCTGTCTGATTTATTGAGGTGTTTGTTTGTTTGTTTTTTACCACTTTACATTTTTTGTTTTTCTTTGTGTGATCTAGTGTTTGTGAGATACCAGGTTCTGTTAAGGTACCTTCACCACATTCAGAGTTTATTTCCTTTATTTAACTTTCCATTTGGTTAAATATAAATATATACACAAATATATGCATATATATATATATATATGTATATGTATTTGAATATATGTGTACATATGTATATTTTTGTGCTTTTAATCTTTTCATACTATTATTAACAGGTACTAATAGCCACTCTGGAGAGATTGGTTAAGGGAGGTTGGAAGGGCATTGTGTCTATCCTTTGGTTTCTGTCTCCCTTCACTCATCTTAACGTTAATCTTCCAGCTTTATCATCTCTCTTTGGACTGTAACATGCCCATAACTCTGCTCCTGTCTGTTGCAGGCATGGTGAAGCCGTCGGGGCCTTCGGGAGCCGCCGCTCCGTCAGGGCTGCTGCCCCCAGGCCCTTTACCTCCTGGACCCCCTCAGTTTGGCCCCAATGGAGCCCATGGCCCAGGCCATCCTCCTCAAAGGTGAGCTAAGTACATTTCAACCCTCATGTGAATATGCCCTGAAATACTCTTCCAAAGCACCCTCTATACTTGTATGTTTCTTGGTTGAAAATTTAATCTCTTGGTAAGTTTCATATCTTTAAAAAAATGTTTACTGGAGAACTGCCCTAGAAAACAAAGCTCTTGGAAAAGCCAGTGACAGAAGAGTTAGTCTGTATTTTAAAACATAAAAATGGCCCATGTTGATACCATGTATTTTAGTTTGGGGTTATAGTCGGCGTATTTTGTTTAGAGTTTCATGTTGGTCTCTAGTTCCTTTAAACATCCAGTCTCTATCTCTATCTTACAAAATATTAGCTCATTCTGGGTAAGGTAGCACATATCTTTAATCCTAGCTCTGGAGAAGCAGAAATATGAAGATCTCAGATGAGCTTGAGGCCAGCCTGATCTGCATAAAAGTAGCAGGCAGCTAGGGCTACATAGTGACACCACCCCCCACTCCCAGGTCTCAGACCAAAACAAAACACTGAAACAAGGCTTGGAGCATTTCCTTCTCCAGAGCTTCCCCACACACCTGAGGTCATTACCAGCAAGTCCTTAATAAAAGTTTAAAGATCAAATTGGATTGAGGTCAGTGGTAGAGTCTAAGGGTTTGATAGGGAAGGAATACATGGGCCAGTGACAGACTCTGAATTGGCAGACCTGCTGTAAAAGCAGCTCAAACAAACAAACAAACAAACAAACACAGCTTCTGTTTGTAATGAATTAAAAAAGGAAGTCAGAGGCAGGCCTCGGAAAGCCAAGAACTATATGCCTGGGATATTTACAACCTGTGACCCATAAGGGACTATCACTTGGGATGGAGCCAGAAATACACCTCAAGGCTCGGAAATCCCAATGTTATTGTTCCACAAGCTGTTGTCACCTGCCACAGTCCAGCTCCTAGTTGCATTTACCTTGGAACTGCTCCCAGGGTGGCTCCAAGGCCCCATTTCCTAGTTCCCAGGTTGTCAGGTGGAGTGGAGGAGGGGCTCAGGAGTAAGTCTTTAGGGTGAACCTGCCCCTGAGGAAGGCTGTCTGTTGTTCCTACGAGTAAGACAAGGGAGGTTCTGAAATCATCAGCTAATGGGGCTTGTGGGGCTTCTGAGTTGGATACCATTGGATATTGTTTGTTGTGGTAACTGTCACTGAGATGTAGCTATGGGATTACAGAGCAGCTTCACACAGGGGACAAGACATGGAGTTTAACTTGTGAGCATGCCTGTGGTTTGAGGACAAAGCAAGGATGCAAAGGTCTTGTTGTGACCTGACCTTACTGCCTTCAGTCTCCTGAGCATGATGGATGGGCAAGGAGGGGGCTCAGTGCTGAGGACTGCTGGGTACAGTGGTACCTGTACTTAGCACTGCGGTATATCAAGGCCAGAGGATTGTCATGAGTTCAAGGCTAGCCTGGGGTAGATAGCTCCAGGCCACAGCCTGGGCTGCAGAGTAAAATTCTGCCTTAGGAACCCAAGAGTAATCTTTTTTAGCTGTGGATCCTGAAATACTGTACTGTCAATCTGCCAGGCAAGGTGTACCCATTGGTGCATAATGACATGCCTGTTATTGGGGAAACCAATAGCCTTTTTAAAATTGGATTTGAAGCCTACTCTGCAAAGGACGACACGTTGGCTACTGTGAAGCTGGTTTGTTCCTGGCAAGGTCTGTCTAAGGCATAATCTACTACTGTTTTTCTAAATGGACATATAGGTAAAAAGTATTCTAGTATTGCAATGAAAATATACATAATGTAAATATAAATTTATGTTTCTATTCATAAGACTGGTGTTGCTGTAAATTGACAGGCCTCTTGTAAAAGCAGCTCAAGAAATACAGCTTGTGTTGGAGTTTGTAATATGTTGAAAAAGAGAAAGTCAGATACAGCCCCAGGAAAGTCTTGGTCAGAAAAGTCTTCTTTTGATGGGAGGGAAGGGTTGGGGGACACAGGACAGGACCCGACAGTGCAGAGACTCATAACTGAGCAGATCAGGGACATCACCCCCTCCTAGGTTCAGCAAACACTGCAGAAGAGGGCATGAAAACACATGAGAGCCAGCGGATGGGACGGACACTCTGAAACACTCTTCTGGCCGTGATGTCATCAGTGTAACCATGAGCACGCAGGAGCTGTGGAAACCTGCACAGGACCAATACAAAATTAGGTTCTCAACATTCTGTCATGGATCTGGGGGTCGGGGGCGGGGCACTCCTGAAGTCCTCTTCTCCCCTGAGGAGTTGTTGGCAGCCAGTGATTACCAGGGATGGAGGGTCTGCCATCTTTTTCAGTGAGGTAGCCATTGGTAAGTTGCCCATGCTCCAGGAAATAGCCTTCCTCCCTTGTTCATCTGATTGACACTAATTAAACTTACTGATTGAAAAGCAATAACCGCCCCCGCCCCATACACACACCAGACCATGAAAGCTAGTTAGGAAGAATGCTATGAACAGGAATGGGAGGAGGATAAGAGGGAGGACTGGGAGTTCATATGGTCACAGTGCATTGTGTAAATATATGAAATTGTCAAAAATGATCTTGAGTTTTAAAAATATCTTAAGGAAAAAAAGAAAGAAAAAGGTAAGCAAGACAGGATGACAGCAAGAAAGAAAAAAGGAAGGAAGGAAGGAAGCAAGGAAAGAAAGAAAGAAGGAAAGATGCTGAAAACCTAGAGGTAGCTTCTGCCTCAGTAGCAGGGTGGCCTGGGGTGGCATGAGGAAGTAACCTTGTCAGTCCAGAAGAAGGAAGAAGAACCAGGACAGCTCATTACTGTAAACTCCCTCCCTGCCCTTTCAGGACTTTAGAAAAAGAAATGCAAAGATGCAATCAGTGGTTTTGAGAACAAATTTGGTCACTGGTATTGGCCTAAGTCATGGATCTCTTTGATATATTATCACTTCTGGGAATGGTATCGTGAGTCTAGCAGAGGGCTGGCATCCAGAGGAGTGAAGACCCCAGGGACAGGCCATGTTTGCCAGGCCTGCCTTAGGGAGTTTTTGGCCAAACAAGTTCTAGTCACACGCTGCATAGACTTGTTACCCCCATGTATAGTGTGGTCTACAAGTTATAATGAAGCTGGAAAATTCCTGGGGCTTAATGACACTGCAGTATCTGGATGTCATCACCCCAAAAGTCATTACCCACATGTTTGAGGTACTTCTGGTGTTCACTGCTGGACAGAGCCCTGGGTCGGGATGCAATGCCCACACTAGGTCAGGTGTTTCCCATAGTACTAATCATTCTTTCAAAGTGTTCTCCTACTTAGAGGAGTGTGTTGTGACTCACTGTGGTGTTAGGCAAGGAGCTACGTCACTGCAGCATCACTTGCTTGTATTCTTTCCTGTTTACTTGATTTCCTTCAGTGTTGTTTTGCTCATCCTGAATCTAAGAACAGCACGATATATACACCCTATATCCTAAGTGTGTGGTAGGCCCTTCCGTTCAGATTTGTATACCTTCCGATGTCTGTACAGTGGCAAAAAACCACCCAGTGACACATTTCTCAGAATGTCCTGTTGTTGACTGATGTGTAACTAACCTAACCTCTGTCTTTGCTTCCTCATCATTCATGGTAACATCTCTAATACACGGTCGTGAGGATTTTGCATGCAGACTACCTTGCACAGTACACAGTACTCATTACAGTCCATAGGTTCAGGACGTGTCAGCAGGTCTCAGCATCATGACGTATCACTGGATAGAAAGTCCACTTGCTGCTATCTGTGGGTTGCCCTCCCTTAGTCTGGTGTCTCCAGGAAGCTCGGTTTCAGACTCTACTTCAACTCTGATTGCAAGGAAGCACAGTTAGGTCCTATACTTCTCCCCGCATGTCTTTTACCGGGTACAACTTAACTATTGACCTAAAAGTTGGAAGTAGGTTTGAAAGCTAGAAATGTCAGGAGGAAAGTCTAACCTTTTAAGCTAGGTTTCCAGGTTGCCTGTTATCTGCCCCATGGGACACGTTTCTATACACACGCGGCAGTGCAAAGGCAAAGGGCGCAGTGATCTTGAGAGTGAGTCACACTAATCTGATGACAGAGGATGTCAGAGAACAGATATGTGTGACCTTCCCCCCCCCTTTCTCTCTCTCTCTCCCTTCTCTCCTTTCATTCATTCCTCCTTTTCTTCTTTGCATTTTTATGATTTTTTAAAAAAATTTATATATATGAGTACATTGTAGCTGCCTTCAGACACACCAGAAGAGGGCATCAGATCCTATTACAGATGGTTGTGAGCCACCATGTGGTTGCTGGGAGTTGAACTCGGGACCTCTGGAAGAGTAAGTAGTTAGTGCTCTTAACTGCTGAGTCATCTCTCCAACCCATCTTTTATGTTTTAATAAACTTTTCAAAAATAAAATTTTAACATCGTTTGAGAATATCATATACATATATATACATAATATATCTCATCCTCCCCAACTCGTCTCAGAACTCCAAGGACCCTCCTTATTTCTTCGTTCTTTTTTTTGATCTCACTGAACCCAGTTGGTACTGTCACTATGTCCATGTTTATAGGGTCACCCACTAGAGCATGGAGAACTGATGGGGCCACTTCCCTGAGGAAGACAGCTCCTCCACCAGGGAGAGGCCCTGCCCTTCCCTCATTTGTGATGGACTTGCTTTGTGGATGGGCTTGATCTTGTGCAGGCAGCTGCGGCTGCTGTATGTTCCTATGTACAGATAGCCCTGTCATATCTAGAAAACACTGTTTCTCAGCAGTTTTCCACACTTTTAGGTTCCTAAATCTTTCTGCCTCCTCCTCCATAGTGATCCCTGAACTTTGAAGAGAGAGAGAGCATGCTATAGATGTCCCCTTCAGAGCTGAGTGCATCATAATCTTTTTTTTCACCCTTTGACCTATTATTTATTGATAGTCTCTCTGTTTAACCTCTGTTCGTTGTAAAAAGAAGCTTCTCTGAGAAGGTCTGAGTGCCATGTTGACCCACGGGCATAATTATAAATGTATTTAGAGGGCAATCTGATAC